CATGTTTCACAGTGGGGATAGGTTTGATTTTGGGTGTGCTGGCCTTTTTTTTCCCACATAGTGTTGTGTTTTTTCCCAAAAACAAAAAAATTTGGGGGCATCCGCCCAAGAAACCCAGTAGTGCGTGGAAATCCAGGGGCTTTTTTGGGGATATTTTCAAACTGCTGCAATCTTTTTTTTGGGCCCCAATGTTTTCCTCCGTGGTGTCCTCCCATGTACTCCATTTTGTTATTGTTTTCCTTATTGTAGATGTGTCAACAAAAATGTTAGCATGTTGCCAGAGATTTCTGTAGGTTTTAGATGACACTCTGGGTTTCTTCTTTTATCTCATGCAGCATTCTGCGCTGGGCTCTTGCAGTCATTTTTACAGGACGGACCACGCCTAGGGAGAGTAGCAACAGTGTGCTAAACTTTCTCCAATTTGTTGACAGTCTGTCTTTTCCGTGGACACATGAACATCAAGGCTTTTGGAGATACTTTTGTAACCCTTTCCAGCTTCATGCAAGTCAACTTTTCTTGATTGTTGTCTTCTGAGAGCTCTTTTTTCTGCGGAGGCCATGGTTCACTTCTGAACAGTGCTTCTTGAAACCAGTAATCCCAAAAACAGCAGTGTCAGCAATCATCCAATATCTCACCCATGATTGGAGTCAAGGTGCGGCTCATCTGGCTCAATTAAGCTCTGGGAGAATTCATTAATGCTAGGGCCTCACATATATTATCCTCCCTGCACTGTGAATGTTTACATGATTAGTTGAATTATAACATGATATTGCCCGCAGTATTCGGCGGCCGGCCTTTCTCACGCACATGACCCCCAGTCTTAGTCGTAGGGTTCAATATTGAGTTTGGCCCCGCCCTTTGCAAGCTAAAACAACTTCAACTCTTCTGGGAAGGCCGTCCACCAAGGTTTTTAGGAGGGTGTCTATGGGAAGGTTGGACCATTCCTCCAGAAGCACATTTGTCAGGTCAGGCACTGATGTCGGGGGAGGAGTCCTGGCTCACAGTCTCCGCTCTAATTCATCCCAAAGGGTTCTATGGGGTTGAGGTCAGGACTCTGTGCAGGACAGTCAAGTTCCTCCACCCCAAACTGGCTCCTCCAGGTCTTTATGGACCTTGCTTTGTGCACTGGTGGGCAGTCATGTTGGAACAGGGAAGGGGCCATCCCCAAACTCCTCCCACAAAGTTGGGAGCATGAAATTGTCCAAAATGTCGCCTTAAGAGTTCCCTTCACTGGAACTAGGGGGCCAAGCCCAACCCCTGAAAAACACCCCCCACCATAATCCCCCTCCACCAAACTTTACACTTGGCACAATGCAGTCAGGCAAGTACCATTCTCTAGGCAACACGCCCATCACGGATTGCCAGACAGCGAAGTGTGATTGGTCACTCCAGAGAACACACCTCCACCGCTCTAGAGTCCAGTGGCGGCGTGCTTTACACCACGGCATCTGACGCTTTGCATTGCACTTGGTGATGGAAGGCTTGGATGCAGCTGCTTGGCCATGGAAACCCATTCCATGAAGCTCTCTACGCACTGTTGTTGGGCTCATCTGAAGGCCACACCAAGTTTGGAGGTCTTTAGCTATTGACTCTGCAGACAGTTGGTGACTTCTGCGCACTGTGCGCTTCAGCATGCGCTGACCCCAGCCCTGTCATGTGACGTGGCCTACCACTTGGTGGCTGAGTGGCTGTTGTTCTCAGTTGCTTCTGAGGCAGTAATGGCAGAGTTGCCCTTTAATATGGACCAATGTTGTAGCACCCAGCTAGTGCAGAGTTCCCCTTAATTATGTAAAGTTTTTAGCTTGCAGAGTTGAGCTAAGCTCTGACTCCTCCCCCACATTCCCTGGTTGTTCTAATTTAGCAGGTGACACTCTCAGCAGAAACCACAGATATCCTGTATGTTGCTTTTCACAGTTACATGAAATGTTAAGAGGAAAATATATTGTGACAGGAGTGACTTTGGGTGGGGGGTCCATGGAACACAGCTCACTTTGGAGAGGCGGGGAGACCCCTGTCTCAGCTCCCCATATCCCTCTTATGTGTAAGTCACCCTGTGCCTGTTAGGGGTGCAGGGTGATCTGTCCTAATATTGGGGGGGGGGGGTTGTGGATTGTTTGGTGTCATGTGGTGCATCCCATTGTTCTATTGTGTGTCTGGCTTGGGAGCAAACTATTATGGGATGTATGTGTTTATGTGTATTGGCTTAGTGGGGGGGGGGTTGTCTTCAGCAGCCTTCCCTCCTGATGGGACGGTCTGTTGGTGTGTCTCTTGTTACTAAAGGTAGATTGCCCCACCCTGTGTCATTATGCAGGGAGGGTACGCTGAAAGGGGGGGGGATTGCCCCCTGAGTGTATATATCTTGTATTCGTGTTCAAATAAAGTAGTCTATTTCCTGGTTTACTTCAAATCTGTGGTCGATGTTCGGACAGGAAAGCGGTATTATAACAGAAGTACCCGAGTGCAGTCTGGGTCGGTTCTGTTACATTGGTGCAGTGTGGGTCCAGATCCGTTACATTGGTGCAGTCGGGGTCCGGTTCCATTACATTGGTGGCAAGCGGTGGGATTTTGCTTTCAAGCTGTGAACACATCCAAACCACCACCGGGATTCAAGATCAGGAAAGTAGATCACCCCAGTGGAGATATGGACCTGGCATCAGAGTTTCCGCGGCTGCTGCGGACCGTTCTTGCAACATACCCCAGGACTGTGTCTACGGATCAGTACCTGGAGCTCAGGCAGCGGATTTGGAAGGTGCTTTGGAGTGGAGCCCTCCAGGTTGCTGGTATGTACAAGGACAAGTGCTACCCAACCCCAGGGGAACGGGCCAGGGACCATCAGACGTTACGGATGCCATTCCTGGGAGAGCGACCCCAGGAGCAATGGGTGACTGTGTTGGACAGGCCTGGTTAAGCAGGAGATAGAGCTGGACAACCGATATAGGGCTCTGCAATGGTACGCTGAGCAGAAATATTTCGGGGTGACAACAGAATGCTCTCCAGAGGGATATGACTTTGGTGGACCTGGATTGCTGTGGGAGAGTCTTAACAGATCATGTTGTGTTTGGTGATGAAGGAGGACCCACGCTTGAGGACCTGCAAGAAGGCAGATAGGCTATGTTCGGTCTCACAGGGGTCTCACTCAGAGCTTGAACCAGATCTGGAATACCTACTGATGGAAGAACTTCATCTGGAAAGGGCATACAGGCAACTGCTAAAACATGTTCAGCAGCATACCCAAGAATCAGCAGTGGAAATTCCAGAGACTGGGGATGTGATAGAATTATCTGCTGAGAAAAACAACCTGGTGAGCCTCCAGCAGAAGAGCCGGCAACAGAGCCAAACATTACTGAACTCTGCAGCACTGGTAACATCTTCTGGGTTCCACGGACAGGAGATGGTGAACCCCTATCCTCAGACACCAGTTCCAGAGACTGGGGATTTGATTGACTTTTTCTGCTGAGGAGGAACCAGCCGGCGCGCCTCCAGCAGAAGAGCTGCCCTCAGGGCATGGTTTGGTTGACCTCTGCCCACAACAATCAGCACTGCAGGAGCTACAGGAAGAGGATGCAATCGGCACCTCACAACGGCAGCTTGAGCTGATCCATGGATGGGACTTCGGTCTCCACTGACACAACCCAGAAAAGGGTCTGGCATTGGGACAGGAGGATGTCAGCCTTGCTTTGCAAACACTGGGGGATGTCCATCAAGTCAAAAGTGTATGAGACTAAAGTCCCCATCTGGATACGCCAGGGATGCAGGGCAGTCGGCCCAGATCCCCCACAGCATGATGGAGTCGGCCCAGATCCCCCACCGCATGATGGAGTCGGCCCAGCCACCCTGTCTTCTCTCTAGCGGCTGAGAAGACTTCAGGGAGAAGGGACCAGTCCATACTTCTCCCCAGCGGCGGGTATGTTCTACAAGAGAGGCAGAGGTTGGCTGGGTGAGTAATGCTTTGTGTGGGACAATTTGTTTGGGGTACTGTGTGGGTGCCGGTATTGGGGGACTGGAAGTACAGACTAACTTCGGAGTCCATCCGTCTGGGATTTACTCCTGCATTAGTCTCTCCTCCCGAAAAGGGAAATATGTGACAGGAGTGACTTTGGGTGGGGGGCCCATGGAACACAGCTTACTTTGGAGAGGTGGGGAGACCCCTGTCTCAGCTCCCCATATCCCTCTTATGTGTAAGTCACCCTGTGCCTGTTAGGGGTACAGGGTGATCTGTCCTAATATTGGGGGGGGGGGGGGTTGTGGATTGTTTGGTGCCATGTGGTTGCATCCCATTGTTCTATTGTGTTTCTTGCTTGGGAGCAAACTATTATGGGATGTATGTGTTTGTGTATTGGCTTGGTGGGGGTGTCTCCAGCAGCCCTCATTTCCTGATGGGACTGTCTGTTGGTGTGTCTCTTGTTACTAAAGGTAGATTGCCCCGCCCTGTGTCATTATGCAGGGAGGGGGGGGGGGGGGGATTGTCCCCTGAGTGTATATATCTTGTATCCATGTTCAAATAAACTAGTCTATTTCCTGGTTTACTTCAAATCTGTGGTGTCTGTAGTCGGGTGAAGCGGGATTCTAACGGAAGTACCCAAGTGCAGGCTGGGACAGTTCCGTTACATATATGTATTGTGACAAAATCGCTAGTATATACGCTTGTAAGAAGGGTATACAATTCACTTAGCAGATGAGAGCAGATGGGCCGTCTGCTGGGGTCACTACAGCGCGGTTTTCAATAAACTTGTTTTCCTCAAGAAGTCCCCATCCAGAGTTTTACCTGAATTTCCAAAAATTGCTACATTTCCACTTTGTGTTATAATCCCACTAACAGTTGAGCGTGGAATATTTAGTAGCCAGGAAATGTCACGGATGGACTTATTGCCCAGGTGGCCACCTATCACGGGACCCACGCCTGGAGTCACTGAGCTCCTGAGAGAAACCCATTCTTTCACCAATGTTTGTAGAAGCCGTCTGCATGCCTAGGGGCGTGATTGTATACACCTGTGTCCATGGAGGGGATTGGAACACCTGAATCACATGATATGGAGGGGGATTGGAACACCTGAAATCACATGATGTGGAGGGGATTGGAACACCTGAATCAACATGATATGGAGGGGATTGGGACACCTGAATCACATGATATGGAGGGGATTGGAACACCTGAATCACATGATATATGGAGGGGATTGGAACACCTGAATCACATGAATATGGAGGGGATTGGAACACCTGAATCACATGATATGGAGGGGATTGAAACACACCTGAATCACATGATTGGAGAGGATTGGAACACCTGAATCACTGATTGGAGAGGATTGGAACACATGAATCAATGATATGTAGGGGATTGGAACATCTGAATCACATGATTTGGAGGGGATTGGAACACTTGAATTACATGATTGGGAGGAGATTGGAACACCTGAATCACATGATTGGAGGGGGATTGGAACACCTGAATCACATGATATGGAGGGGATTGGGACACCTGAATCACATGATATGGAGGGGATTGGAACACCTGAAATCACATGATATGGAGGGGATTGGAACACCAGAATCACATGATATGGAGGGGATTTGGAACACCTGAATCACACGATATGGAGGGGATTGAAAAACCTGAATCACATGATATGGAGGGGATTGAAACATGAATCACATGATTGGAGAGGATGGAACACCTGAATCACATTGATTGGGAGAGGATTGGAACACCTGAATCACATGATATGTAGGGGATTGGAACATCTGAATCACATGATTTGGAGGGGATTGGAACACTTGAATTACATGATTGGGAGGAGATTGGAACACCTGAATCACATGATTGGAGGGGATTGGAACACCTGAATCACATGATATGGAGGGGATTGGGACACCTGAATCACATGATATGGAGGGATTGGAACACCTGAATCACATGATATGGAGGGGATTGGAACACCAGAATATCCATGATATGGAGGAGGGGATTGGAACACCTGAATCACACGATATGGAGGGGATTGAAACACCTGAATCACATGATTGGAAGAGGATTGGAACACCTGAATCACATGATTGGGAGAGGATTGGAACACCTGAATCACATGATATGGAGGGGATTGGAACACCTGAATCAAATGATTTGGAGGGGATTGGAACACTTGAATTACATGATTGGGAGGAGATTGGAACACCTGAATCACATGATATGGAGGGGATTGGAACACCTGAATCACATGATTGGAGGGGATTGGAACACCTGAATCACATGATTGGGAGGGGATTGGAACACCTGAATCACATGATTGGGAGGGGCTTGGAACACCTGAATCACATGATATGGAGGGGATTGGAACACCTGAATCACATGATTGGGGAGGGGATTGGAACACCTGAATCACATGATTGGAGGGGATTGGAACACCTGAATCACATGATTGGGAGGGGCGGGGACAATAGTTTTGGAATATAATGTATATACTGACACTGATAATGTGTCCCACTTGCTACAAGGGGGTCTGGCTGCAGATTGGAGCTCCATGTGATCTCCACTCAAAGTTTTGATTTAAAGAAAAAGTTCACCTTTTAACAAAAAAATAATAAATCTAATTTTTTTGCAGGTAAAAGAAATGTGCAATTTTATTATTTTTGTTTCTGGGGCCTGTACAGCATTACGCCCGGGATCAGCAGATGGGCGGGGGCCACGCAGGTCTGCAGACTAATAAAGGCAAAAGAAAATCGTGCGCTGCCAAATCATGAGAATAATAATCGATGAGCTGCTGCAAACCTGTTATGTGTGTAAACTAAACACAATGACAAAGTGTGGCGCTGCTAACAGGAATCAGTACATGGAAATATACAACAAAGACGTGATGGATGGTCCCAAAAAGATGACAAAACATACAAAAAATAAATGCAATTCTTAAAAAAAATCTAAATAAGTGAAAAAAATCTTTCTGCTGGTGATTGCACCCAAAATCCCAGCGCTGTAAATCTTCAATAATGTGAATCAACACACAGTGACTATAGACTTCCAGGTGGACCCTCACCTTCTCACATGGACCTATATGTGGACACGGCTCAGACAAAGCATCTCCCCTATTGGTGGGGAACACATTAACTTGCTCCTCTGTGGACTCCTCCCTCATGAATCACCGCTGGACCCTTCACCAATGGCCCCCAATGTCAGTACAGCTGTCAAGCACCGCCCGGCGGAATCTCTAGTGATCCACAGAATGGGATTCCTCAGGATGCGGAGTCTAAGTCCCAGTCTGCCTTTTCACCAGAGCCCCTGATGGTGGGGATGGACTTGGTGCAAGACTGAAACCAGGTCGCGACCCTTTTGATGTGCACCCAACTGCGGTAGAGGGGTCCCGCTGAGGGTATGTGACCGGGGGTGAGCCTGATATGAAGAGGCTGACAAGTCCAGGTCCCAAGCGGGATGGATGGATGACGGTCAGGGGGTGAGCATGGTCAGGACTAGCCGGGTCATCGGTAACAGTGGAGGCTGGTAGGTACCAACGCCAGTAGACAGAGAGTAGCCGGCTCACGAGCCAAGGTTCAGCAACAGGAGTTCACAATAGTATATAAATGACAGGCAGAGGGACAGTCAGGGACGAGCCGGGAGTCAGAGCAGGAGAAGGTCAACACAATTCAGGACAAGCAGGATCGGCAACAGGAACGCACTTCAGAACACGGGTACAGGAACTTAGACCTTGCGGCAACCTGATCATCACCTGGCACAGTTTAAATAGTGCACCGTCATTGGCCGCTACATATTGCCCAACGCGGACGCCCAGGTCCTAGTGCCTGCACATTGATGTGCCTAGGCAATCTGCGCATGTGCAGGACCTGTGCGCTGACGCGGACCCCCGAGAGGGGACGGGGGGGGACCCACAGTCCCCGACATGGCGCCCCCCCTACGAGCAAGCCTCCGGAATGCCAAACCGACCCTCCTAGATGGCTGGTTCTGAAAGAATTTCCGGAAAGAGTCTTGGGGCATGAACATTTTGGGCTGGCTCCCACGGAATTCTCCTCAGAACCCGTACCCCTTCCATTTAACCAGGAACTGAGTTTGGCCTCTCTCTCTTCCTACAATCTAGGATTGCCTCTACCTCAAACTCCTCTCTCCGTCGATGTTTACCGCCTCCGGAGATTTAGACCTCCGATCCGGAAAGGGGGGTCTGGTGTCACCGGCTTTAATAGGGACCACATGGGAAGACCGGATGAATCCTAAAAGATTCGGGGAGCGTGAGTTCGTACGCCACCTCATTGACTTTACGTTTCATCCAAAACGGGCCCAGGAACTTAGGTGCCAGTTTCTTCGTTGGACAGGACATTTTTAGATTTGTTGTTGCTGACCAGACCTGGTCCCCGGGTTGCAAGCTTAATTCTCCCTTCTCCTCCTATCAAAGGCCCTCTTATTGTCCTCTGGCTTTTGGCCATCGCCCTCTTGCAGCACCTTGCTATTAGAGGATAAAAAGCTTAACATGTCCTCTGTGACCTCCAGAATCAGATGCCGGTAAGAATACTGGGTGGAATCCATAATTCGCGAAGAAGACGGGGGCCTGCTTTGTAGCGGAATGACTCGCGTTGTTATACGCAAACTCCGCCAGTGCGAGGAGGGTCAACCGGTCGTCTTGGAGGAAGGTGGTATAGCACTGAGGTACTGCTCTAGGGTCTGATTCCTTCGCTCCGTCTGGCCATTGGTTTGTGGGTGATATGCAGAAGGAGAACGATAGCTTAATCCAAGCGTCTCACATAGAGCCCTCCAGAATCTAGATGTGAATCTGAACCCCCGTCGTCCAACACGATATCCTTAGGAATCCGTGGAGTCTCACCACCTACCTGATAAAAACCTGGGCTGTCTCAGAGGCCGTAGGTGTGTCCTTTAAGGGGTACAAAATGGGCCATCTTGGACAAGCGGTCTACGATCACAAAGATCGCTGTGTGGTGTGCTGAGAGGGTGGAAGTTCCACAATAAAATCGATGGAGATCATACTCCATGGTCTGTCAGGTATGGTAATGGGCGTAATAGGCCCCAGGCCTTGTTCCCTAGTAGGTTTGTTCCTCTGGCAAATGGTAACAAGTCTTAACATATAACTCGCAATCCTTGGCCATATTGGGCCACCAGAACATACGCTGCAACAGTTCCAGGGTCTTGCGTACTCCAAAGTGCCCTGCTAACGGGGGGTCATGGCAGTATCCTAGTACTAAAATACAGGCTTCCTCGGGAACCACAATCTGATTCTCCTTTCCAAAGAAGCCTCCCCTATTCAATAAAGGAATACCGGGTGGACCCAGCATACCCACGGATTGCGGTCTGCAGTATAGAATGGAGCAAGAAGAGTGCCCACCTGGCTGGACGTGGGTCTCAGGCGCTTTGCTGTCCTCAAATATTCCAGATTCTTGTGATCTGTGAAAATTAATATTGGGTGTACGGCCCCCTCTAGTAAATACCTCCACTCCTCTAGTGCTACCTTAATCGCCAGGAGCTCCCGGTCCCCGATGTCGTAGTTCCTTTCTGCGGTAGTCAGTTTTCTAGAGAAGAAGGCCACCGGGTGCATGAGCTCCTTAATGACAGAATTGCCCCAACTGCGTTCTCAGACGCATCTACCTCCAGGATGTAGGGTAAGGACGGGTCAGGATGGCTCAGGATAGGGGCTTCAGTGAACAACTTCTTTAAAGCTGTGAATGCTTCCTGCACCTCAGGTGTCCACTGGCAACGGACCCCCTGTCTGGTCAACTGGGTAATCGGGGAGACCAGGCCTGAAAAGTTTTTGATAAACTTCCTATAAAAATTTGCAAAGCCGATGAAGCGTTGGACGGCCTTTTTATCAATGGGTACTGGCCAATCTAAGATAGCCGAGACTTTCTGAGGATCCATGGCTATTCCTGTGGTGGAGATGGTCAGACCCAAGAAAGAGATGCTATGCTGTTCAAAACAGCACTTGTCTGCTTTGGCGTATAGGCCGTGTTGGCGGAGCCGCTCCAACACGCACCTCATGTGACCTCTATGGACCTCCAATGACGGGGAAAAGATCAGGATATTGTCCAGGTAGACGACAATGAAGATGTCTAGATAGTCCCTGAACACGTCGTTTATGAAGTGCTGGAAGGTGGCGGGTGCATTGCATAGGCCAAAGGGCATGACCAAATATTCAAAATGTCCGAACCTGGTACAAAATGCTGTTTTCCATTCGTCCCCCTCTCTGATACGGACTAGATTATATGCACCCCTCAAATCCAGCTTGGTGAAAACGGAAGCTGACTTTAACCTTTGAAAAAGTTCAGGGACCAGAGGTAGCGGGTAACGATTCTTGACAGTTACTTTATTCAAGTCCCGGTAGTCTACACAGGGTCGTAGGGATTTGTCTTTCTTCTCCACAAAGAAAATGCCAGCCCCAGCTGGTGACGTGGAGGGCCGAATAAACCCCTTGCGGAGGTTCTCGTCTATATACTCCTTTAGAACCCCTAACTCGCGCTCGGACAAAGGGAACATCCTCCCAAATGGTATTTCCGAACCTGGGAGAAGATCGATCGGGCAGTCATAGGTCCGGTGCGGGGGCAGAACATCTGCCCCCCGCTTGCTAAACACGTCCAAATAGCTATGGTAGGCCGAAGGAATGACTTGGGTCAGTTCTGCATCCGCATCCAGACATAGCAAGGCCTGCGGAGCCGGGGGCGTCCTAGGGAGGCAATGCTGCCAGCAATAGGGTGACTGGAAGTGAATTGATCCCGCCTTCCAATCAACCTGCGGATTGTGGGCTCGTAACCAAGGGAGCCCCAGGATAACTGGGAATAGGGGGGATGCAATGGCATCCAGGCGGAGGAATTCCTGATGATGGGTCGCCACTGTAGTGCGGATAGGTGGGGTTTCACGGTCCACCACCC